GAAGGCGAAGAAAATGAGAGCGCCAACCTTTGCCTCATGGCACACGAGGAACCACCGGAAGAGGTATGTACCACTTCTAAAGATTCCTATACTTTTGATGATGTACAAGAAGCCTTTAATGAACTTTATGATGAATATGTCAACGCTTCTAAAATTAACAAGGATTTGAAGAAACAACTTACTTCCATGGAGAAGGAAGTTGATAAACTATCAAAAGATAATGAAAAACTTAAAGAAGAAAATAAGTTTTTCGGAAAAAGAAGCGCCGACAAACCGGAAAGTTCAAAATGTAGTTCATGTATATCACTTAAGGATCAAGTTGTAAAACTTGAAGGAACTTTGAAGAAGTTTGGTGTTTCTCATAAAAACCTTAATGATGTTCTTGACAATTTGCAACTTACTAAACATGGCTTAGGTTTTGAAAATGAACCTAATAATAAAGAAAAAGTTGAGCAACCATCTAGGAAACATAAAGCTCAACTTAGGAATAATGCAAATCAAGAAAATAGACAACCTAGAACAATTAGGAACACTAGACCACCTAGAAAGAACAATAGGATGAACAATGGTCAAGTTAGAAAACCTAGCAACTATTATAAACCTAGGAAAATGCATAATCCAAATGTTATTTGTCATTATTGCAATAGGGTAGGTCATATAGCACCCATGTGTTTTAGTAGGCATAGGCATTACACACTTTGCATGGAACTAACCAAATGAAATCCTTTGAAAAAGGATATTCGAACTCTAACCAATCCCTGCAGGAATCAACGCAAAAGAAACCATATTACTTCTTCTATTATGATGAAAAGAAGAAGATTCACATACCACTTCCGGAACCCACACAAATCAAACCGAGATATAGACATTCGGTTCGAGTAGACTAGAACCCGCCAACCGCAAAACGACGAGTTGGCCAAGGTAACACTTAAACACACGTGTTGGTACATGTGTGTGTGTGTGTGTTTGCGTACCATGTTTATGTGATTTTGGGTGCGTGTGTTTATTAGTTTAAAAAGTCGTGTTACTAATCCTCAAGGACCCAAAAGACCAAACGGGTACCAAAATGTTTTTATTGTAGGCGTTGAAGTCAGGGGGAATGTGAACAATCGATTTACAGGCTTGTGATAATCGATTATCACAACCCACAGGAGTTGGAGCAAAGAAACTGAAGGAGCCAACAATCGATTATCAACATAAGGATAATCGACTATCACTGCCCACATAAGTTTGTAGCAAATCAACCACAAAACTTCAACAATCGATTAATTCAAGTCATGATAATCGATTATATAGAGCTGCAGAAAATTCTTTGAAGTCAAGTGCAAACTTCAACAATCGATTTCCAGCAACAAGGAAATCGACTATCAAAGCCTGCAGTTTCTTTGGCGGAGAATCTGAAGACTCAAATAATCGATTTACAAGAAGTGTAAATCGATTTACAACGGCAATTTGCTTTTCTCAAATCTGACCGTTACAGAGACGTTGGAACTGTTGGACATGAGTTCAAACCTCCTTATTATTTTTTTGGATTATTTTTTGTTTTGATGAATGACAAACAGGATGATTAAATTCAATCAATATTCGAATATTTATTCGGATCGAGAAAAGCAAAGAAGGGCATCAAGAAGTTTCGTTAATAATTCACGCTCACCCCTACGCAGTTTTTTTTTGAAGTGAAGCGAAGACTCCGAAGACTTTTTATTTTTTATTGAGTCTAGGAATTTTTTGTAAGGATGACAATATCTTCTGCACAAAACAATTTAATTTCTGAGGGATAAAAATTATTTTTGAGTCAGTTGAAAAATCACTTTTCCTCTGTCTAAAATATTTTTGTGAGTTAGTTCCAAAATTAGTGTGTCAAAATTTCGTTAAAACATTTTTTACACAATTTTCTTTGGTGAGAAAAATATACTTTAAATATTTTTTCGTGTATTGTTTGACACACAAAATAATTTTTTGGACTCTCTTTTTCTCTCCCCTACTCAAATTCATCGAATATGGAGATATAATCCTAGGAGCGCCTTGTTATTCTCGTTGTCCCAAACAACGAGTTAGAAGCCAAAGTGCTTCCAATCGCACTTGGCTTGGGCCCTTTGTGTTTGCGCATTATTTTTCATTTTAATCGATTATATTCTTTAAGATAATCGATTAGATCCAGCGCAATTTCTCAGGTTTGAATTCTTAATCGATTATTTCTTTTAAGAAAATCGATTAGCTTGGACAGAACCTCCTAATCGATTAATTGCTTCAATTTAATCGATTTATAAGTCTTTCTTTGGGCTGCTCAAACTTGATCAATAATCGATTATTTTTCCTTCGTTAATCGATTAGTTCGTACCGAACCTCCTAATCGATTATTTGTCTTCATTTAATCGATTATGATTCAGTTTTCTTTTCAGGCTTTTCGCTTCTGTGTACAGTAATCGATTTAAACCTCTACTTTAATCGATTAATTTTATCCAGTGCATATTCTCAGCCTGCTCCAACGACTTTATTTTCCTCAGCCTATTTAATCCCTCATTCTCCTTCATTTCAATACACACCTCTTGCACTCCAATATATTTCTTTGAGCTATATTCATCCTTTGCTTCATCTTCCTCATCAAAATATTATTTTTGAGAGTTAGAAATTTTTTTTTCTTTGAGTGCTATAGAAGTTGTCATCCATAGAGCTTAAATCTTTCAAACACTACTTTGCTCAATTGTGTGAGCTTTCATTCTTGTGTTGTAAACTCAATCTCATTTGAGTGTTGTTCTTAAGACTTGTGTGACTCAAGTCTTGTTGTTGTAAGAAAGTGAGGCTTGTGTGATTCAAGTTCTCAAGTTGTACCGGTTTTTCAAGCACCCGTTGAAGCTTGAAGATTAGTAGGACTTTCGAGAGAGTCTCTCGGAGGACTGGACTAGCCACGAGGTGGTGAACCAGTATAAATCTCGGTGTTCTTCTTTCCCTTACTCTTTTTATTTATTCCTGCGATTTTATTATTTCACACACGCAAAAAAAACGCACATTCTTGAGAACAGCTCTATTCACCCCCCCTCTAGAGTTGCACATTTGTCTAACAGGAACTGCATTCAAGGCACCTTTTTGACTTCCCAAACGCATCTCACTATATATTGGTGATATCCTTTCATTTTTTACTCACTCAAATCACAATTCCTTCATATATTCATCAATATTTCATCCTTCTTGCAATTATTCTTCAGTG